ATTAAATCCCTAGCAGGGAAGAAAAAAAATCCCTAGATTTCGCTAAAAATCCCTAAATCCCCAGATTTGCTCAAATATCTCAAAAAATCCTTAGATTTTGCAAAATACCGCCATTTTTAACGTAGAATCATGATGTCATTCGATGTATCAATTTGCAATATTTAAATCTGATTGGCTCGTCTGAATTTTGCCTCTCTCTAAAAGCAACGTAAACTAGACCAATAAAATGAAAGAATATTAGTTGAGTTCGTATTATTGTTTTTTATACTGTTGAATGCAGTTGAATGTCAAGTACATCGAGTAACGCAATCGTTTTAATTTCCGGCTTATTAACGGGGAAAATAGTGTTGCCAAAAAGGCCTACAAAATATGGATGAAAAAATATTCTCTATGGTCGAAGCTAAATTTGAGGTTAAAAAGTCGATTTTTGCTTACTTTACCTCATCAAAAAAAATCCCTAGATTTTCTGAAAAATCCCCAGATCCCTAGAAATGCCGGAAAATTCCTAGATCCAGGGATAAATCCCTAGACATCGGATCACTGCTAAACAGCAGTCTTAGTGGACCTAGGTAACAAAGTACTGCAGTTCATCAGGATCCTCTGCAATTTGGCCAAAAACACCCCTTTTAATTACGGTTGAATTAGGGATAGATATCAATGGTGTAAGTCGGCAACCTCTTAACTTGGTTTGCGACGTTGCAGACTACCTGTCATACTTTATTTTTTAAACAGGATACTACTCGACAGCAGTTCTTTAAAACTGCCGTAATTTTTCTTCTCTGTGCGAAGAAAATTCTGCAAAAACTTCAAGGAATGATGTCAGTTTGTTCTCCTCTAAAAAAATAATATAGAGGCGGAGATTTTCAGACACCTCAAACAAGTTATGTGATTGCTGAATTACACTGTCGATACATCAGAAGAAGCAGCCATCATAGAACTAAACTTTGTCACTTGCCTTCAAGGGCAGTTTTTTATGACAGGACAAAATACAAATTTACGACTGCTCAAGCCGAGCAGTCTCTCCATACCGAAAAGCATTTCGGATCTTTCAAATATAAATTCGCTCCTTGGAAAATAACGGAGAAAAAAGATAACGAGAATAAGATAGTTGGCTACGGGGACATGTCTTGTACCACCGACTCCAGTAACATTTCTAGCGTGCAAATTCCCGTTTCCTACGGTTACGATCGCCAACTCGAAATGGGGTCTTACATTCATAACGTAGGAAGCGGATAGTACATACAGGCTCAGCCTCAACTGCATATCGGCCTTATGCCTACTCCCAATTTGGAAAAAAAAAACGAACGTAACCACTGTGAAGTGCCCTATACAGTTGGCTAATTGCCACCTTTTTGACAATGTTAATGCTTGAGAAGGAAAGGGGCATGAAAAGTTGCAGGCTCTCCAGATGGCTGTGAGCGCTCCCTGGAGGAGAAACATTTGCCTCTTCGTGGATTCTTTTGTCTGCTCTTCGTATATGGCTATTTTCCTTTAAACCAATTGTTGCACCAGAAGGTGAGTTGGAGGGTCCAGGTCCAGTTGTTATTGAGGAGGGCGATAGAGGTAGACTTTGGATAGACAATGGGCTGGCATCGGCAGGAGTGGCTGGAAGAAGAAAAAAAGAAAAGAAATTCAAAGATTCAAATTTAATCACCTTAAATTTCGTTTTTTTGAACTTTTCTCGAAATTCGGGGACTTGCCAACGCAATGTTGAACTGATTTTGTCCTTACTGAGATAATGTGGAGGCAAATCTAGGGGAAATTGGCTTATTTTGCGGGAAAATTGAATGACCTTTGAATGGACGTATTTGGGGGTCCGAACCCCCCCTTAAAATTAGTTTGAAGTAATTTCTGCAATCTTTACTTGAAACCGAACATAATTTGGTAAATTTTCCCATTTAATTTTTTTCTTTACAATAATTTGAACCGGAGTTAGGATTTTTTGAAAACAGGTCAAATTTGACCTTTGACCTATCATAACTCGGTCAAAAATTAAGATATTGATCTGCGGTTTGCGCCAAAATTCTTAGTTTTTTATGCTCTTTCGAATGAGACATCACATGATTGGGGTTGCCATTTGAAAAAAAAAGTTGCCCCCCCCCCCCTGTCGGGGGAACCAAAATTTTGACACCCCTTCCCCCAAAAGATGGTCCCTTTTGAGATAGGAACATTCCCATAGTTTCATTTTTCTATCTCGAACTGTTCCAAAGTTAGAAGGGGGGGGGGCTGGACTTTTGGAACACCCTGTATAGTGTAATTGAATCAGCTATTACAGAAAGGGCACAATCGACATTTTTTTCGAAATTGAGTTTTTTGCGGTTTTCGCATTAGTGTATGTAGACACATCCTGTAGTGCAGACAGGGCACTATATTCGCATTTTTTATGTGTTTTTGACAGGGGTTAAGTTCCTCACGTAGAGCAGAAAGGGCACTGTTGCAGCAATATAGTGCCGTTTCTGCAGTACATGCCCACTGGGTGCGTGCGCATCGCACAGTGGGAAAAACAACCGATCTAGCGCCGAAAAAGTCTTGACGCGCGGGGCGTTCACTTTCCCATTGATTTTTCACACTTAATCGGTCTTATATATCTAATCATACACTAATAATAACATAATGCGCCGATTTTTTGTAAATTAAAGAGTGATTGAGCCAAATTTAGTCTTGGGATTAGCTATAATTTACTTTCCTTGAGACAGTTTTGGCTTGTGGTATTTGATCAGCCAGTAGAGTAAAATAAAATTTTTCTCGTCGTTTATGCTATTGTCGGTTACTTTTTTCATTATCCTGTGCAAGTATCTTATGTCCCACCTTTTTTTTGGAAAAGTTTGTGTGCCTATGTTTTAGTGTTTCATGGTGAAGTTATGAGTAAGAATGAATTTAATCCGCATCGTATTACTAAAGATGTGAATATAGGTAAGATTGACATAGTAGGTAAATGGCATGTATTCAATATTAAGAGCAAATGAGGAGAAAAATCACACTTGAAATTTTAAATTTCCTAAAAAAAACCGTTTACCAATCAACGGATAATCACGTTTCCTATTTTTTTTCTCATTCCTGTTAAGATAACAATTAAGTTCCGAACATTTAATTTACCATGAAGTGTTCTAAAATAGGAAATGTAATAGTGGAAATCCATATTCTCATTTTACCAATACACATTATTTTCATAAAGGTAAAGTGAAGTATGTCATTATTCGGAAATGTTAGCAATTAATTCCTTTCGCTCAATGCATCTAATGTTTTTCTCCTCAAGACTTAATGTGAAGTAAAACCATTTTTTTAGTGCAGCAAATGTCAAGTAAAACTGAAAATATGCACGGAGTTAATTAATAAATTTTCTCCTCCGGGCAGGATCGAACTCACAACATTCAAATAGGGATGAGTGATCCTACCAACTAGGCTATCGTTTCAGCTCTGCCAGGTGAGCTGAAACAGTTGTTTATAAGCACTCGTTGCCTGAGTTGCGCGCGCAGCGCACTGCGCACGCACTCTCCCCATGCGTCTCTGTGATCTGACGCCGAACCCAACGGTTCACATTCATTCTGAGCACATGTCCAGACTTAGATTTCATCGAATTTCTCTAAAAGGCTCACGAAGGCTGGTTTCAACCAAGGATTTTTGTAATCTTGATAGTATGACGAGTACGTAGATGTAAATATCTCCGTGAATCTGTGTGAATCTTGGAAGATGCAGTCTTTAGAAGTTTGAATTTGTGACTTCTTCGGAGGCTAACTTTAAAAAATTGCTGTAGATCAAAACAGTGTATATAAGAGACGAAAATGGTATCCTTACTTTTAGAACGGTCAGTTATTGTAAAAAAAAATCAAAAGTAACTACATGACGCACTTCAACATACACTCGAGGCTACTGAACGTACACTCTCAGAGGCGGTCCTCCACCAGCACTGCGATATCCGGTGCGTTTCTAATGATTATCATTGAAAAAATCGACCGTATGAAGTAAAACATGACTGATTCTTGATCAGTAGATCCTCAGGAACACATACATACCAATTTTGGCCATTTTCATTGATGTCGATTTTCCGACTTTTTCGGCGCTAGATCGGCTGTTTTTCCCACTGTGGCATCGGCAGCGGCAATTCGTCGTTTGTTTTGTTTTGATACGATTGAGAGGTTAGTTTTTCGTTTCGAAACGACAGTGATCACGCTACACGCTTCACCCACGCTGAAAATGAAAGGAGTGAGAATTGAACCTTGAGTGTAGGAAGAGAGAGGAGCCCTTAACAGGTTGGATGAGAAAGTAGGTAGAAGATTACTACGCTATTGAACTTCAAAGGATACTTTTTTTTTTTTTTTTAAATTTCTTGACTTAAAATAAGCCAGAAATATTTTTAAAATTCACATAGCTGTGGGCAAACCACATGGTGAAAGTTCGAAATCGCATAGCATCAATTGCGACATTGCCAATTTTATTTCGTCTTCTTTTTTTTGTTCTTAAGTATTCTCTATTGAAATTTTGTGTAAATTTTCTTCACTCCATCAAGATTGTTTTCTGAACATTTCATGGGAAAATCTCTATTAGTTCTCTTTAAAAAAATAGTATAAAAAGAGAGCAGAAATTTTGAAACGTTGCAATGGAGATATACAATTTCCAACCTTCGCTATAGACATGCATCATTGCCATACATTTGAGATGAAAAACAAGGGCTAAAATAATTTTCTGGCTTCATTCTATCACTCTTTATGGCTCCTTCCCTCATGTATTACAGAAAGGGCACTAATGCTCTTCCTTCAAGTGTCATTATTTACAACCCAGAAAGAGTATCATGTAAAATTTTTTTATGGAAATTGTCAGTCTACTTGGGGGACAAAAGAAAACCTCGAAAATTTTTTTTCCAAAAGCTTATAGTTTACTCAAATCAGTTTTTTGCATTTTCTGAACAGTTAACATTTCTGCAATAGTGCCCTTTCTGCAATATGTGATTCAATTAACAGTGGTTGTGAATCTTAAGAAGTCAATCCTTCTTTTTTTTACAGATAAGTGCTGAACATAGTGTCCCATTCAAAACAGTTGAACTGAAAGTGTCAGCAACTTTGAAGGAGATAGGGTACACCCATCAACTTGCTGTCATAAGAGGTCTCGCATTTGTTCTGGTAAAAATACTGAAAAAAATACTGAACGGGATTTATGTCAATGAGACCCATCTAAAAAAGGTAAAATCATGAGCTGAAGGCTCTCAATTTTTCTTCTGTAATATTAATTAATGAAACATCGAGCTTCGATTCTGTTACATGTGAGAGGCATGTTTGATGAATTTACTAGAAAACTCTACTGATCATACATTTAGAGTTAGGGTTGGGGAAGACCTTTCTGAGAGCTTCCTCATCCTTGCGGGGGTTTCCCAGGGCTCTGTACTGGGTCCGCTCCTATATCCACTATTCACATCAGATATCCCCCGCCCTGTTAGGGACTCAATTCTAGCAAAGTACGCTGATGGTACTAGGTACTACCTACCTATCCTCACATGTTGAGCAGGAGGTGGCATTAGACATCTTACAAGAGGATTTAAATATTATTAAAGACTGGTGCGCCGAAAAAGACATTGTAATGAATGCAAATAAGTTTATTTTAATAATTTTCTCTATTCGTGTAATTAATGGTAATCTTTTTCTCACTTTTGGTCTAGACATTATTCCTATTTCTGATTTAGCTTGATTTTTTGGCCTTAATTTAGATGTTAAGTTAAAGTGGAAACCTCATATTAATCTGAAATGTGATGAGTGTAAATATAAAGTTCAGAAGATCCATTGGTTCCTGGGTGCAAAGTCTCCTTTGACCCTAAACAATAAGCTGCTATTATATAAGCAATTAATTAGACTGGTGTGGGCCTACGGTTGCCAAGTCTGGGGCACTGCAGCGTCCTTAAATATTAAAGTTTTACAAGTTATTCAAAATAAGACTCTTAGGATGATAGGTGCTCCGCATTATGAGCGAAATAGTGATATACGCCGTGACCTGGGACAGGGTTCCCAGTGATCTGGAAAACCTGGAAGGGGGAAAAAATGGCCTGGAAAACCTGGAAAAGTCCGGAAATTTGCTTAAAAAGTCTGGAATTTTTTCAAGTACTGAGAAAAGAAAATTAATAATTAAACAAATAAAAATAAAAAAATCAAAATTGAAATTGCAATTCCAATTTTGGTTGGATTCTTTTTTAAGAGAATCTGTTCAGTGCTCTCTTGCTTAGCACAGCAGTAATACCATGATGGGATTTATTTTTCAAAACCAATACTACTACGAGTAAATGAAACAAATTGAAAAATCATTTGCTTTCATCCATGCATGTATCGTTTCAGAAGGCGTTTATATTTCGCCAATTTTTTTCCCCCCAACATATTTTAACTTTTTTTGTGATTTTATTCGTGTTATGATACTATCCTAGCCTGGTTCTTATAAAAAAAAAGCTAAATTAGATCAAAATTTGATGAAAATAGAGGAGTTTTTACAAAAATCGAAAAATGCGCGCTGTCTCTTTTAAAGCAAATTATTTGAGTATTTTTCAGCGGAAAAAGGCCTGGAAAAATTTTCGTTTTGGCCTGGAAAATCTGGAAAAGTCAGGGATTTTTTTTTTTTCAAAATTGGCTGGGAACCCTGTGGGAGTCAAGTCTGTTGGGGAGTATATCACTAAGATCGCATCGCGGTGTGAGACGCGTCTCCACAGTCCTCCAAATGTAGTACAGTTACTAGATAATTCTAACGAACTTAGGCGCCTTAAGCGCAAAAAACCGTGGGAGCTTGCCACTCCAAGGTATAATCTGTACTTTTGAAGTGTTTATCTCTTCTTGTAAAGTCCAAGTCTTTGATCTGTTTTAGTTGGCAGTTGTTTTTAGTTTAAGTAGTCCTTTTTTTTTTTTTTTTTTATTCCCCTGGCATTAGCCGTAAATTATAAAACTCAGTATAATTAGAAAGGCGGACCAATTTGTTGAATTACATGTTTAGCACTTTTCGCTTAATGTCAATCAAGAAAAATTTCATTATCAGCTTCGGTGCCTGTTGAAACTTGTACATGAATGTTCTGAAACATGAGCTACATTAATAGATCCAGTGATTTTTTCAGTGATGAAGTTTTTCTTTTCCTAACGTTAAAACTAGTATTGAAAGCATTTAAAAGCAGCAACTATTGAACGAACACTGAACACCCTTCCAAGAAACAATGCAAACAAATGTAAATTTTAAAGTTGCACAACATGTAATAAACGTTAAACATTAAAATTTGATATCGTCTCATAGTGAAAATAACTAACAATAAGTAATCAAAAGTTGTCCCATGAATGTTTACTTTTTTTAGTGATGAGATATCAGCCATCAGTATCAAGCTGAGGTGCGGTTTTTGCCGAATGTAACAACCCAAGTTATAAGTCCAATCCGGTTTATAAAGGGTTGAACATAACCAAGGTTTAGTGAGGCTCATGTTTTTAATGGACGATGTGACCTAGGTTTGAAATAGTCACTTTTAAAACCTAATTTTTCAGTGTTGTGTGATTTTAGCCATTATCACCTTGATATTCCAGACGGGGATATTTTACCATGTATCCCTGGACCTTTCCCAGGAATATGTTGGTTGACTCTTATCTTTTTTAAGAGCAAACTTCCTCCTCGGTTGCATTTGCAGGGTGACGAGTTCTTGATAACCTGAGAAAGTCAGGGAATTTTGTCCAACCCCAAAAAGTCTGGGAAAATTCAGGGAATTATGCCGTGGAACCCTGAAACTCTTTCTCCTGGCAAAACATGGCATTTTTTCAATTTTAGGAAACTTAGTGCTAAACTCTCCTGTTAAAATATCATTCATGAGAAATCGTGCTGAAATGAAACATTGAAAAGACGAGGAATTTTATGTGCAACGACGTTGGAAAGTCAGGAAATTTTGAGATGCAAGACAACTCATTACCCTGATTTGGCATTTTGCTCATATCCAACTCAAGCGCGGTTTATAGTACTCAAATTAGGTGTGTACGATTCCAACTCTCTGACAGGAGTGTGCTTTTTATTACAGATCAAATTGGAGATGAAAAATAATCCTGTCATTTTTCTGCCAAGTCATCGCAGTTATGCAGATTTTATCTTGATGGCTTATGTGGCGTTTCATTATGAAATCGAACTTCCTTGTGTTGCTGCTGGAATGGGTAAACTTGAAATTCGTGCTTGTCATTCACTTAATCTTCATTTGTATCAGGTTTCATGTCAGTTAAATGGAGGATTTTTACAGTAGTTCTTTTCTTTTACTTGTTAAATTCTTTCATTATTAATGCATCATTTTTCATATTGGTACTGCTCCTTATCAACCAAAAGAGAGCTGTTTGAAGTGAGCTATATATATATATTTATATTTTCATCACTGTTATTGTTTCTTACCCGAGTACGCTGGTACAAACTATGCAAATAGTACTTGGAGGAGTGGATCCTAGGAGGCTGCTTATTGAGATCTATGAATGTGGCAGGCAGTTAGCAATCCCTGGCAATTTGCAAGCAGCTTAAGTGTTGTTTTGATAAATTGCAACAATGCGCAGCTACACCAAGGAGATTTTATTGGTTCATTTGGTCACCTGTGAAAATACTATCTCAGCCTGGAGTGCCTTCATTTTTTGTGATACCCTATGCTTTGTGGCAGAGATAGTTTAATTGCAAATCCTAACGGAATTCAACTTAGATTTCACTACGCGCTCTCCTGAGTGTGTCCTCTAGTAAAAGTCGCCCTGGAGCAGTACCAGGAATCGACGTTTGCTACCAAACTGGCTCATATATAGATGCTATTACCCTTTGGCCCATGTTTTGATCAGTAATTTACCGATATAACTAATTATAATTATATGTATTTCCCATCAGGATTATTGTGAGCCGAATCCGAATCCTTTCAAATAAAAGAAGATTATTTAATTTTTAAAATATTGGTTGGCAAATTTTCAGCGGCTAGTAGGTAGAGGATGTTATTAACACGGGTTTGGCTGACTGAAAGAACAATAGCGCGTCGCGGCCGGTCGAGGGCCAGTAGACCAGTGCGAAGATCCGGCGCACAGTGCAGTGTCCTCATGGCGCGTAGGGACAAAAATCAAAGCTCGCAAACAAAAGCACATAGAGAGGTGAAATTTGATATGAGAGGTCTTGAACATATAGGCTATCGTTAGATGAGGTCAAATTTTGTAAATGACACTTTGGGGTGGGAGGAAGGAGGCGGAAGTACAGATACTTGAAGGCGAGCGTTTTGGCGTTAGAGACAGAACCTTATTTCTAAACATTCTACCTTGTTCCGTTCTGAGTCGGCCAATATCAGTTATCTCCCGTCATAACACATTATGTCTGCTGCTGGATTTCTGCTAATTGTGCATCCGCGCAGGTTCCGTGATTTCCCCTCACCCTTCCACCCCTCCAATAGCATTTTCATGTCAAGAAACAACGAATTTCTTCCCATCCATCCTTATTTCAATCCAGCGGTCATTTTCATTATCGGACAAAGTCGAATTTTCAATTTTTGTCCATGGGACACTGCACCGTGCGGCGTTGCTATTCGAAGAAGCGCCCCGGGGCCATTTGGTGGCCAAAGCAAGAAGCATCCAATTATGAGCCTGCCCCTGGGCAGTGTGGTGGCAAACCTTGATTCCCGGGGCGACTTACTAGGGCCAGTTACTACCATGTCTTTTGGAGGAAAAAACGTATATTTCAATTAAAAGCAAAATATTGCATCATCTTGTACCTTTATTTCTGAATTTCATGTGTCTCTATTTATGATTTATTAATCGTAGTCGGCAAATTGCCGGCGATTGCCATTTGCCTGCGATATGGACAAAGCCATAGACAAAGAAGTTAAATCCTATTAGTTGAAACTGGTGGTTAATATTGACTGAGGGGGAGGGGATGGATTAACTATCTGGTCTCTTTTAGTTGCTGATGTCTATTATTTACCTCCTTTGTCCATTGCAATCACCCACTCCCACTAATAAGGTTGCTCTATTGAGCGTGCTATGCCATAGAAGGCTCATTGGAATACGCCGCAAGGCGGCTGATAGATCTAGATACTAGCTCTATTGCATTCTGGGTTATCTTTAAAGCCTCTCCGTTGCGGGAACGTAGTTGTATTTTCTCATTGTGATAATTAAACGTGGAGACCGTTTAGAGTGCTGGTAACAATTTTTTAATTAATGCCGAGAACAAAGGAATCTCCTATGGCCCTTTATGTCCTGCTAAAGCTCTCTAATATTTACCTGGGTACTAATTTGCTTAGAGCAGATCGCTGTTTGAAAATATTCTTATCGGTCACACGAGTAAGCTGCGAGGCCATGTAAGAGCAGAGGGTTTCCGATTGGCTGTTATTTCGGCATAGCAGTGAAGGCCAAGATACACCAGCAAGTTACAAGCGCTTGTTGAAACAACTGTATGGTGTCCAGCAACCCACCAATCATTGCTATGACGTCACGAGACGCTAATCGTTGGGTTCTCCGTGTTCTTCTCTTCCTTCACGGCGACACGGCATTCCTGCACCCCGTATCTCGGCTCGTTTATCATCGATTTTCGTAAAACTTTGCAGTTGGGGTTCATTCTTTGGTTGTCCTTAGTACATACACGTTGTTCGGAATCTACTATTTAGGCCGTTGACCAATTTCTCTCTCTTCAATAGTTTTGCTTAGCTTCTTTCATCAAAGTAATCTTTAGTTTAGCCATTGAAGGCATTTTTTCTTTTATCTTCCTTAATTTCTCAGTTCTGTGATGAATTTGTGGCACATTGTGGTAACCTAACCTAACTTCTTATGTAAGTCCTACTATGCATGACTTAAGTTCAGCCCCCGAATCCCACGGGGGAACACTCCATGGACCCCCTGGAGATCCTGGCTCAAACCCCACTAATACCTCTACGTCTTTACCTAACCCACAAACTACCTCTATCACTCATATAAATGCGAATAGCTCTAGTACGTTTGATCCCTCTAGAAAGGCATTCATTGTCAAAGATAAATCTAGCCTGAGATACCAGCCAAATTATCCTGCTCCTTACATCGTAGCAATAGCAAAAGAAGGTATAGGAAATAAGCACCCAACCTTAATTGGAGAACTTTTCTATAAAAATAAGGTTGAAGGAATTAAATCTATTTCCAGAGTGAATAAAGACATTATTAATGTGGAACTAATCTCTAAGAGCTATGCCAACAACCTTGTGGACAAGCAAACCTCTCTCATTCCGTATGACCATTTTTCCTGCTACATTCCTCTCAAATATACCACTCGAAGAATCATTGCGAATAATGTACACCATGAGTTAGACATTGATAGTATAGGTGAATTTCTTGGAGAAAAATATGACAATATCATAAGCGTTAGAAGAATTTTTAGGAAAAATGAGGATAATGCTTTAATCCCAACCTCTAAACTAGACATTCTTTGGCAAGGTTCGATCATGCCTGATTTCCTTTATATTTTTTACGCTAAATGTAACGTTACTCCTTATATCTACAATGTAACCAAATGCCTAAACTGCCTAAATTATGGCCATCGTGCCGAGTATAACGGGAACCTTACTTGTAAAAGCCAGAAATGATGTCAAAAATGTGCTACTTTTCATGTAGCTCAAGACATATGTCCAAACCCGGTGAAATGTTTCCACTGTTCCGAAAATCACCTCACTTTCTCCCCAGTATGCCCTGAACTAATAAAACAAAAAAATATTAAAGAAATAATGGCTCAACGGAACATATCCTTCGCAGTAGCGTTAAAGATTTTTAATGTACAACAAACGGAAACCTCAACTTCAAACATTAACGAACGCATTCAAAATATCCATAAGAACTCAATGAATAACGAAAGAAATTCTCTTGAGGTAGTACAAGCCGCTAATTTTCCTCCTGTAAATAATTCTTTCTCTAACCTAGCTGAACCTATGGATGTAGTTAATAATTAAAGGTATTCTTTGGAAGACCTGAGGAGACCATATGCTGATGTAGTGGCCTCCCTCTCTCCCACTAGGAAAAAATCAAAACACTCCTTTGACGACTCTCTCCCTTCTGCCGAGTGGATCAAAAAAAATATAGGCGTAACTGGGGAGTCGGTGAATACTCTTACCCCCAGTCCCAGGATGGCAAACTCTAGCCCTTTGAAACCCTCACAACCACAATCTTCCCTTCCCCTCTCGAACTCGTCGAAAACAAATAACAACGTCAAAAATTCTTCTTCTACCACTTCCGTCCTTACAATCAAATCCTCTTCTTCCACTAGAAACCAACTTTCAAACCTCACATCACATAATGCTCTCCCAGTACAAGAACCTAACAAACCAAACCAAAAACCTCAAAAAACCCCTCCAGCCTCACTAACCTGCCCAGTCAATAAAAATTCCTTACAATCAAATAAATCTTCTCAACGCCTTCCCCCTCCTAACACTACAAATATAGACAACCCAGCTCCTTCCATACACAATACTACGCAACCAAAATAGAACAAATCTTAACTTTCGGACTAAAACATTTTAATTACACTTTATCTGTTCAATTAAGCTGTTCCAATTTGTGTTCTACTCATTCTTTTTACTTCTCCCATTTATTTTCCCTTTTTTGTTACTCTGTTATTTCTTAAATTTTATGCCTAACACGTTTCAGGTAGTTATACCGTCTAACTTTTCCCTCCTTACGTGGAACATTCACTCCTTACTCTCGAATGATACCGACCTTAGGTTAATTATTCGAGATCATGACCCTGACATTATCTTACTTTCAGAAACTTGGTTAAAACCAAACATAATTAAAAAGTTCCCAGGCTATAACTGCTACAGAGATGACCGTGATGACGGTTATGGTGGCCTAGTCTCGCTCATAAAAACCAAGTACACCTCTTACCCAATCACTTTGGACAATAGAGATCTTCTTACTAAAAGAATTGAAACCCAGGCGTTTAAAGTAAACCTGGACAACAACTTAGAACTATTCTTCCTAAATATTTACATCCACCCTGAAAGTCAATTCACTAAAACTGACCTGACTAATTTTCTATCAACTAACAACCTTACTAATAAACCTCTGTTTATGGGAGGCGACTTCAATGCCAAACACCCTATGTGGGGTTATCCGCATAGTGATAACAAAGGCAATACCTTGGTGGAACTAGCTGAAGATCTTGAACTTTTTAACATCAACTCACTCTGCCC